AGTGTAGCGGCGATGATGAGTACAGTCAATATAGCCCAGGACTGTGGCAAAGCAAGCCATAAATTTCTGGGAGCACGATACGCTCGCTCAAGGTCTCACATTTTCCGTGTAAAATATGACTGTAAAACCTGCAGCTAAGTAAGTGGGCGTCTGTACCACGAGCTGACCCGAGAAAGATTGCGTAATGAAAACTCCTTCAAATCCCTGGGCATGCTGGCATGTGCATCTCCGTTCTGTGCTTGATTGTCTAATCTGATGCAATGCTGACGTGTGATTTGTTTTTAAAGAAATGATTCAATTAGATGAAAATGAAATCTGTTAATTGTCTTATTAAATACTTTCCCGGTGCACCATTTGCTCATTTTAGTTTCTTTTAAAAGCAAACAAACAGACCACACATGTGCACAGCAGTTATTTATTTTACCCACGGCTGTAACCTGCAACAGCGCAGACAGCACGTAAACAGGATTATTACTTTTTTTCCATTGGTTAAAAAAAAAAAAGTCTTTTGTTAAATGATCACGTTGAGAACAAAGTAGAAAACGAGCAAACGGGGAAAGAGTTTTTTTTCCCCCACCAAAGAGTTGATTCTCTAAAAGGCCAAATTAAAGGGCTGGTAGCAATGGGCGTTTGTGCAATCATGGCAGAGCCTCAACACACTTCCCAGGCATTCACACTTGCATGTGTGAGTGTGTGAGTGTGTGCGTGTGTGCGTGATAGGGAGGATATGCAACGTCTCTGTTCTTCCTTGGGTCAACTGCTTGATGGAGGCTAACGCGAGGAAATTTCACTTTTGCTCTCTGTAATCGAATACGGAGACACACAATCACATTCCGTGCAGATAATGTACCTTAGATACGCCACGTGTGTCAGCTCCTTTTCCATAAATGCAGCTGCTGCAAAAAAGATCCCATTGGGTAAGAAGTATCCAGATGGAGAAAAAAAAGATCTGTGAAAGAAAAGATTGTTTCCCCCCGCCGAGGGAGTTGATTAAGACTTGCATTGGTGAAACTAAGCCTACAAATCCATTTGAACCAGACAGAACGGCCTGTACGCATGCCTCCACGTTTCTACCAGCTAAGATGAAACTGACTTAGATATGTTGTGTGATTTCACTAACACTGAGAGACCGACTTAATGCCATTTCCAGGAATTCTCACCGCTTATGTGAGATGTTCACATATTTGTTAGATCAAGTGCATTTTATATGTGTGTGTGGAGTCTCATCTCCAAGCCAGAACTTTTATTTACTTGGTTTGCTGCGCTGAACCATTAGCATTGTCAGCATGCGTTCAAAAGAAGATATACTTTTTTTAATTTTATTTCATGTTTTCCCCTCCTAATGTTCCCCTCTAATGAGCCAGTCCAAATTTGCTTCCTCCTGATTTTCTGAGATTATACACTAGATTTGACAGTCTGTTATCTGTTACCGCGCTGCGTGTGCTAAAACGTCTCGTCATGTTCTTTAAATTTCCTGTTACAAGGACTAAGCCAAGGAAATGTAGGCGTTTGTACTTTTATTTTGCCAGAGTCGTGTTTTGGATGTACTTGAGCTTTCCTGTATTTTTTTTTTTTTACTTTTCCTGAACATAAAAGTGAAATGTGGATGGTGATGAGCGCTTATTTACGACAGCTTTTAAATTCAGGTTTGATTTGCCCATGCAACCCATGGAGCCCTCATATATTTTGAGCTTTAGCATGTAATCAAAAGGAGGTTAAGTGCGATTAAAATGAAAAAAAAAAATGTCTGTTATTTTTTTCAGACCCGTATGATGACGACCTGAAGGTGAAGACCCAAAGACCACGATCAGCTGACCAGCCAGGTGTGTTTCAGGCACAAACAGGTGAGTATTATGAGTGTGCAATGGTGCCCAGAGCCTGGAACGAAAGAAGACAACCTGACCTTTACAGGCTGTATGTCCCACTGAAAATCCTCAGTTTTCTATAAAACGGTTTTATAAATAATTATGTAAGGTGTACCTTTTTCTTTCCGGTGAGCAAACCTTCGGGCAGCTGCCACCTTTAATCATTCACTTGTGTGAGTTTGTGAAGGTGTGAAATTTTTTGAGTCGGCGTGTGAAACTTGGAAAAAATGGAAAAGACTGGAAAAAAAATAGTAAATTATTCAAAGACTGATCTATTAACCATGAGAATGTCACATGTATGTATGTATAATACATAATATAATACGAATCGGCCTTAAACATACAAGATATTCCATGTTGCATGCACATGCATTTCCATATTCGTATATATGGCGTAGAGGAGGAAGTCCCTTAATAGGAGGGGAAACCCCTGGGTCTATCTTGTCCTCATCCTCCCCTGTCTACCCCTCCCCTTCCTTGCTTCTTCCCCCATTCTTCTAGTCCTCTAGGCATCTGTGATGAGCTTAAGCCCTGACTCACAGCATGTTAATGAAGATGTAATGCGATTAACGGACATGCAATTAATTTGATTTCCTTCTTTGCCATGTGATGACGCCTCCATCAAAGGACACGGCGCTCATAAACAATTTACAAAGAGAGAAGTGGAGGGACTTGGCTCCTCGTTTTCGCTTTCAAGGGCGTAGCTCAGTGGAACAACGGGACCCTCTACACAGCTGCCTGGAGAACTCCAAATTAGACTCCATCAAGTCTAAACACCTAATCTCATATGGGTGCTTAGAACACAGAGTCGAATATGTACACCCACAAACACACACGCACACAATTGCCTTTAGCGGTGAGATCATACGTGTTACCATAATTCCATTAATTAATTGAATCACCTTTAAAAAAAACTTTCCTGGAGCATGATCATCATCTTCATTAATATCCCGTCAAGATTTATTTACAATAACACTCTTAGTGTGAATAAGTCAAGAAAAAAAGCTACATCGTGTCACCTTCATCACCTGTCACACATTCCCAAAAGTTTCTTTTTTTGCTCCTTGTTAATTGCATAGGTTACAATTTTGTTTGTCTTTTTTTTGTTGTGATGTTGCACCGGTGTCACTGCTTTCCAAAAGCAGATTTTGGTGGGGTTTTTTTGTTTGTTTTTTTCATTTTTTACGGTAAACAGAACAGCAGAGGAATCCGAGAGCCGCTAAACAGCAATCGATAAAGCAAACATCTTTTAATGCTGGCGGTGCTTCTGTGAAAACTGGAAGCGAAAATATACTTGAAAATTGTCACACATCTCCAGTAATAGTTTCTGTCTGCTCCATTTGTTGGGACATTTTAGGACTCCGTTATAAAGCGAGGAATTTATTGTAATTACCCTTTATGTAAATCATTTTTCTTTTCCTTTATTGTTGGCTTTTTGCATTACGAGCCACTTTTACATAGCGGTATAAACTTTGAGCTGCAGAGCTGAGATCATCTTCTAGCTCTTCCTCGTCTCTTTTCTGTTTGACCTGAGGAGACACCAGAATCATGACACTCCTACAGAGCAGGCAGGGGCTTTTTTGTAGAAAGTGGGGTGGCGTGGGGTTACCAAGACCACTTGGAAATTGGCTGAAAATTTCATACTGCCTCTATAAAAATGCATTTGGAGACTTCAGCAATACATCTGTGTGAAGGCACCAAATTAAGCTGTGAGATAATAAAATGCAGTCTTGTTACAAATGTGAATACGTTTTATTTGAACGAGTGATAAAAGGAAAGAATGATTTCTCTTGTTATTCAACCATAGCCGCGCATCTGACTCTCAGGATCATTAAAAACACTGTGCGTATATAACTATCCTCTCCATGTTCATCTCCATCTTGCTCCTTAGGTGACCCAGCAGCGGAGGAATGGTCGCAGTGGAGTGTGTGTTCTCTGACATGTGGGCAGGGCTGGCAAGTGAGGACCCGATCGTGTGTTTCTTCTCCCTATGG